ATATAGTCCATTGTCTGAATACTGCGCGAAAATACCAGCACGGCGCTCGCCTAAAGCGACACTCTTGCTTATAATCTCCAGCAAAATGAGCATCTTCAGACTCAGGGTTGGCGATTGCAGCTCCTCGACCGATATCCTCTGGTGCGCTCCCTGCAGCTCGACCATTTGAATGCCTCTCAAAGATATCACGAGTCCACCGTTCATCGGCTGTAGACTTGAGCGTTTCTACATCAACCACTTCGCTGTCATCGCCCTCTACAAACTCCATGAGCGTGATCTGCTTTATGCGTTTCGCATCTTTCCTTGAAAGCAGCTTGCGGTGGTAAGCCAACTTTGCTTTGCAAACTGCTGGGTGGTTGCAGATCGTCGTCAGGGTAGAGCCATGGAGGAGGAGGTCCTTGTTCAGATTGCGGTCGTCGGCAGTAGCCATGTTGCAGAAATGCTCGATGTAGCTGACATAGAGCTCGCGTTGAACATCAGCCAGTGGGCATGAGATGATGTACTCGACCTTGCGCGGCAGGACATGGTAGAGTAGACTAGAGTCGCGTCGGTCAACCACCGGGACAAGTAATCTCTGCAATACTTTCATCCGGAGCGTGCTGAGCCGCTTGGCCGAAGCATCCGAGTCCGAGTAAAGCCCGCTCTTGATCGGATTGATGTAGCTATTGCGAAAGTCGCTCAGGTTGCTGAGGAAGTTGGGGTAGCAAAAATCGACCATGGTCCAATATTCCTCGAGATTATTCTGCAGCGGATAGCCTGTTAGACAGACGCGCGACTTTGACCGAAGAAGATTGGCCATAGTAGAAATCCGTGTGGATGGATTTTTGATATTGTGTCCCTCATCTGCAATAATCAGGCTCGGACCATGGTCCAGCATCCACAGTCGGATATCCGGCACAAAATCTTCCCAGCCGCTGTTGATGTTGCCATGCTCGCCCGATGCGATCTGCATAACGTCGCGGAATGACGAGTAGCCCATGACCATGACGCCGCCTCGCTCGTGCCACGACCTCAGGGCTTTGATTCGACTGCTGATGAGCTTCTGTAGTCCAAAGTTGATCACCTGAGTTATGACAGTTTTAGCACGCTCGCGTACCTTGGCCAGGAGCTTAAGATGCTTGAGCCTGGCGTCGCCGGCCAGGATCCCATCTGGCGGTAGCTCAAATGGTGCTGGCAGAATCGGTGTATCGACCCTTTCGACAATGGCGAGGAATACTCAGCGACTCCGGTCCATTTCAGAAATTCGAGAGTCCAATTAGCCTGCACTGTCGGTGGGCACAAGATCAGAACCCGGCGTGCCGCAAAGGTCGAGCCCGCAAAGTCTTTGCACTGTCGGTCAATTGCATCGAGCATAGTGTAAACGAATGAAATCGTCTGCAGGGTCTTTCCTAGACCCATCGAATGCGCCAGCACGCAGCCATGCTGCACACACGATAGGCGGCGGGATCAGACTGTTGATTCAGTTTTCCTCCGAATGTTCGCTGAGCATGACCGTCTGCTTCCACATGAATCGCACACCCTCGATCTGATGGCTCTTAAGGTGGCTAGCCAAAAATCCAGGAATCATAACGTCGCTCTCATTCTCATCATGGCCAGGGTTAATCAGGATGGTTTGCCAATGGAGTCTACATCTATCGACGATGGATCCGACGTCAGCAGGAGTACGCCTCTGAAGGCGACCTGGCGTCTCCGCTCCCAGTGCTTGATAATAGTCTGGAATTGGCGAATCTGTTCTCCCTGTTTACTTTCGCAATGCGCCTGCGGATTGCCTGCTCTTTAAGCATCTGGTTGTTCCGAAGCTCGAGCACCTCGGGGTTCTCATCACGAATCGGCTTGATGCTACGACTGGTGCGGGGCTTTGGTTGCTGTGGCAAGTAGTTGGCCACGATGGCGATGTCGCTTTCGCTAGCTGACACCTCGATGGTGCTAGACGCATCGATTGCGTCTTGGTTCTTCGCGGCATCATTGGCTGCCGCTTTGCGCCTTGCAGCAGAATTGGTAGACTCACCATCACCTTCGCCACCGCTGCTGCTAACCTCTACTACCAAGGGCTGGCAGGGGTCGAGTCTTCACCGATAGCCGTTCGCTGGTCTTTGACACATAGCGCCCAGTTTTGCAACAATCTATCCAGCCAGCTGTAGAACATACCGGAATGCCGCGGTCTGGCTACCCGCCATCACGCATAGCAAGCACAGCTCCGGGGTAGTACGGCAGGAGACCACCAGCTCCAACGGATTGTCAGTGGACGAAATCGCATCCGGGATTGGTGCTGTCTGTGGTATTTGGCTGACGCATGGTCCCGTGCCAGTGATCTCAACATCACGGCAAGGCCCTTGCAGACTTTTGAGCAGTCGTGGTCTCTCGGAATCTGCTGCTCGATGATTGCTGATAGCTGAGCCTTGGCGCTCTGACAGGCAGCTGCATCCGGGTATGCAACCACAATTTCCGGCTGCTGCCTGTTCAGCCAGGACAGGAACTCAGCCCAGAGACGCAGGGCCATCCGCATGTCAGCCATGCCGCTTGCAGACCCTGATTCACTGATTGACACTGGAGACTGGTCACCATCGCCATCTGCCTTATGTAGTATGATATGGCGCCATAGGTGTCTGTTGCCAGATGCGAGCGCACGAAACTGTGTAGTTCCACGTGGCTGATCTCTGGCTGCGTCTCCTCTTCGGTGTAAGTCGGCTGCTTTGCCTGCTTGATTTTGGCTAGGATCTCGGCTGCTGACAAGCTTCGAGCGCTTTGGGTCACCTGTCCATTAGCCATCGCGACTCGGTTTGTCTGTGCAAAGCGGCTGACAGCTCTGACTGATATCCGCATCCACTGCGTTGTGCAAACATGCCTTTGCCACCGATTCGGCCTCTCTGCCACGTGTGGGTGGATGGCGCGAGCTGCGGATCATCCGCCTGTGGTGCATTGCCATCATGCTCCGTGGTCATATCACAGTCCATCCTGTCCGCTGAGTCGTCAATAAAGTCGTTCATGTCATCGCTAGTAGTACCCGCATCCGCATCCGCATCCGCATCCGCACCCGCGGCAGATATCTGTGCGCTTTTGGCGAGTCGTCTCCGCTTTGCTTTTGCCAGGCGGGCTTCAGTCGATGGACACCGAGTTGGCTTCAGCCTCCGGGGAGCGTTGGGAAGCGATGTTAGGACGAGCAGCCATTCCTTCTCCTTAATCGAGTAGACGGTTGGCCGCATGCCCTCGCACAGCTTCAGTAGCGCCTTTTCGCCAGTCGTGCCGCTATCAATGTATGTTTTGCGCAGTTTGGGGAGACGCCGGGAGCGCAAGTCTTCCAGGTCTTTTTCCAACTTGTCGCGCAGGTTAATGTATTGGCCCCACAGCCTATGCCCTGGATCGAGAGAGAGTGGATTTCTTTGCAATCCCAATCGTGCATGAATGACCCGATCGCACGGTCAATGAGCTTGCTCACTCGCGCGGCTTGGCATTTCCTGGTTTCATTCAACCTTGTCAACTGCGCCTGCTCCTCCCGCATCTCGTGTTCAATCTGCCGGGCTTGCATGTCTGATTCTTCGGCTTCTGAACCAGACTCACCGTATACAGGGAGAATAGGATCAGCCTCACCATCTGTCGCCGCCAGCCCATCGTTGCCTGCACTGCTGTATATATTACCCATGCGTGCCTCCATATACCGCCAATGCCATTGCTGGACTTGCTCCATCGACGTCCGCAGCTGCAGGCGCTTAGAAAGGGCCCATTTCCTCAGGGTCTCTGCCGAAAAGCGTCGAAACCAGAATCCATCCAGATCCTTGTCGGCGTAAAGCGAGCTGAACTTGCCTGGCGCAGCTTCAACGTTGGGCGGAAAACGAGGCTGTCGCGAACGGGTAAATAGCCTGGCAGCCGGGGTGTTTACAAAGGCCGACTCGAGTGCAGCACAGACCTTCTCACGGGGCAGAAGTGGGCACGCACGCCCCTGGTCAGATATGAGCGGGTCAGAGTCGACCAGGTTGCCAGTTGCCAACTGTGGCACATCCTTGCTGACAAGGGTAGGCAATATGCGTTTCTTTGCCTTTGGCGCCACTGCCGCTGGTACGTCAGACGTACCTGGCTGTGCTGGCGACATTGGCAGCTCGGAGCCATCTCCGCCACCTGCCGCCTGCATCTCCTCATCACTATCCGACGACAAAGAAATGTCCATATCCACTTCAGATGTGGTGTCAATGTTCACTTCGGGTGTGGTGTCCGCTGCTAGTGCTGGTGAAGCAATAGACCGAGGTGGGGTCCCAGGTTCAGATTCGGTGTCAGAGCCAGAGCTATCATCGTAGAGTTGCAGATACAGCGCTTTCCAATGTTCAGTGACTGAGCAGGCATAGGTGTCCACCTTGCCTCAGTATCCATTGCTAGCTCAGAAGCGTGGGTCTCCGAGTCAGATACTGCAGGCTGCTCAGGGCCCTGGTTAGTAACCCCGCTGACCACGGTTGGTGTTTGATTATCTGCATTCGTGTGGATAATAGGCGAAGAGCTTTCCGATAGCGGCTCAGTAGGCTCCAGGCTGGCTGGGTCAGAAGTAGTGTCCACCCAGCATCTGCAGTCAGTGGCAGCTCATGCCCAGCTAGCGAAGGCTGGTCCGGCCTACCAGTGTCATCAACGGCAAGAACTGGCTCAGAGTTGCCTACACTCAGAGAAGAGCCTGGCTGCTGTTCGGGCTCCGCGGCCACTAGCATAGGCATCCCTGCTGGACTATCATGCACTGGTGTATGTGACGCATGGTGCTGGCTGACAACATCCGAACGTACGTCAACGCCGCTACTAGACTGCTCTCGATCAGGAGACTCTGCCAAGAACTGCGCTTGCTCAGCACGATCCAAAGCTATTGCAGCTGAGGATGGATGGTTAGAGTTAGATGCAGCCTGTCCTCCACCGGCCATGCATTCACTGGGCGTGCTCTGGGTTGGATTACCAGAGCATGGCAGAGGTTGCTTTTGTGTTGATACACCTGCGCCAGACTCCAACTCAGGCTGTGGTGTACAGAATCCGATAGAGGTTGATCCAGCCGACTTGCCACTGTCTGTCCTCCTGACTCAACGGAGGCGTTCTCGTCGATCTCCATGAGCTCAACATCCGATTTTTCGCTCTCATCATCAGAGATCACCACCACTTCCATCTCCACGGGCTCTGTAGACTCGATAACTCCGGATCCGGTAGCACCGGCACCGGCAGGCTCAGCAGAGCGCTCATTTGCTATCTCCACATGGGCAGATATTTCTACCAGCGTCTCAGTAGGCCCGGCTTGATCAATGGGTAGCGCATGTTCCCTCTGGTTGAAGTTAATCTGGCCGCCTTCAACAAATTCATCTGGAGACGCGCTACGGGATGCATGTGCATCTGGTGCTGACTCAGAGCTGCTTCTGTCCGGGCCCTCGTGCATGTCTTCGAGTGCGCCTGTGGTCTCAGGCCACTGTAAATACCCAGTGCCGAATCGGCTGTACGAAAGCAGGGTGCTTCTCTTTGGCCGCACGCGGGATCCCAGCGGGAGCATTTGCATGGTATTGATTGTGCGGTGGCTGCGGGCCATCCATAGTCCCTGCTCAAGGATCTCTCGCTGAATGGATACCAGGTCCGAGCCTATGCCTGGTTTTCTGACGCAGTTGATAATCTGTTGCGCCAAATCCTCGGTGAAGTCGGCTCCTTCTTGTAAAGCGTCCAGCGACGGGCGCTCCAACCGCGGCCAACTGCCAGCACCATTCTCCGCCAGTGACTCGGCTACACAATTAAGGGTCGTAATTAGCTTCCGTACTAATTGTCCGCAGAGACTCGTTTGCATTCGCGCATTTGACCGCTAGGGCACTGTTGCAGGTCGAGTATAGAGGGCTTACCTTCTGACATGCCTGCAATGTGGTTGCCAGCTTCACG